TAGCTTGCTTCTATTTATGTTCCCCCCATCCCATCCTCTTGCCTCCTCAAGAAGTAACAAATATCCTAAATTTTGAATCCATTATTCACTCTTTTTAAAAAACAGGTTATCACATTTGTATGTGTGCCTAACTGTATATTCTTTAGATTTGCTTGGTTTTAAGGTTTATGAAAATGGCATTCTACTGTATATAGTTTTCTAAACTTGCTTTTCTTATTCAACATAATGCTTCTTAGATTTGAACTTTTTTTTACCTTTATTAAGTAACCTCAGAATTTTCACTGCTGTTTTAAAATTCATTGTATGATTCTACCACGACTAATTTCTCCATTTTTCTATTAGCTGGAAATTTGGGTTGTGTCCAGATTTTTTTTGTATTACAACCTGTACTGCTATGAACATTCTCTAGTGTGTCTAAAAATGGAATTAATGGGTTGAAGGGTATGCAATTGTTCAGGTTTGCAGGATGCTGCCAAATTGTTTTCCAAAGAAGTTGTACCAAATTACTCTCTTACCAACAATGTATTGGAGTTCCCCTTGACCCACTTCCTACTCAACAGTTCTTAATTTTTAATCAATATCCTAGGGGTAAAGTGGTATCTCATTGTGATCTTAATTGCATTTCTCTCATTATTGATGAGGTTTAGCATCTTCATAGTGGCTAAATGTTTCTTCTTTTGTTAAATGGCTGTTTGGACATTTTGCCCATTTTTCTATTAAGTTGTTTTTATATTGATTTGTGGGAATTCTTTATTCTGGATACAAAATCTTTGTTACTTATATGTATTGGGAATACTTCTGCCAGTTTGTGCTTTGTTTTTTTATTTTCTTCATTTTTGATGATTGAAAGTTATTTTAATAGCCAGATTTATCAGCCTTTGATGATTATCTTTTGTATCTTAAGAAATTCTTTCCTACCTAAAGTCAAAAAGATATTCTCTATGTTCCCCCCCAACACCATAATTTAAAAGTTTTGCTTTTCATGTTTAAATCCTTAATCTTGGTTCGATCTCGGGTTTCGGCACCAAAAACAAAAACAAAAACAAAACAAAAATAAATCCTTAATCTGCCTGAGATTTTTGTGTGTATGGTATGAGGCAAGCATTGATTTTATTTATTTTTTTCCCATTTGACTGACCTTTTGTGCCAACACCATATAATGAATGGTTCCTCTTTTTTCCACTGATCTGAAGTTCTTTTCCCAGTGTCATGGTTCCATTTGGGCTCTGTATTCTATCCTATTGATCTGTTTGTCTCTCTGTGTACCAGTATCAAACTGTCTTCATTATAATATGGCTTTAAAATAAATCTTGATGTCCTATTTTGAGCCAGATTCATCTCATGATCCCCTATCCCTTGCTCTTCATGAGTATCTTGGCTACCTTAGGTCTTTGCTCTTCCACATACATTTTATTTTATTTTATTTCATTTCCTTTCATTTCATTTCATTTATTTTCTACATACATTTTAAAACCAGCTATTCAAGTTACACACGCATGAAACTTTGATGGAATTTTTATTGAAATTGCATTGAATTTACAGATAAGTATGGGGAGAATTGATGTCTTTATAGAGTCTTCTTACCTGTAAACATGGCCTCTTAATTTAGAACTTATTGTCATTTAAGATCAAGTTTCAAGATTTTCTGTATAAAAATCTTGTATATCCTTTGCTATATTTATTCTTAGGTACCTTATAGTGTTTTTTTATTGCTATAGAAATTCTGCCTTTGAAAATTTTATTTCCTCCTTTTTTTTTTTTTTGCTGATAATATAGAAATGCAGTTGACTTTTTCATATTGTTCAGTCAGGCAAATATCCTACTAAACTCTCTTACTATTAATAATTTATTTCTAAATACTTAGAGTTTTTATGTAAATAATTATGTCATTGGCAAATAACAATTTTGTTTCTGCCTTTCCAATCCATATCCCTGTAATTATTGTTTTATAGCACTAGACTTACAGTGCAATGTTGATTTTAGAAGCTGTAATGATAGGTATCCCTGCATTAGTCCCGATTTTAGAGGGAATGCTTCCAATGTTACTTCTCAGTTTTTGATACATACCCATTATCAGGTTAGGGAGGGACTTTTCTAGTCCAACTTGCTGAGAGGTTTTATCATGAATGGATCTTAAATTTTTATCAACTGCTTTTTCAGCCTCTATCAAGATAATTATATCATTTTTCTTCTTTAATATATAAATATGGTGATGGATATATATAGGGTTTCTCATGTTAAGCCATCCTGGGATTCCTGTTAATGGTCTTTGACTTAATAATACTTTGTTTAATATTTTTGTATGTAGGGCAGCCCAGGTGGCTCAGCGGTTTAGCGCCACCTTCACCCAGGGCCTGATCCTGGAAACCGGGGATCGAGTCCCATGTCGGGCTTGCTGCATGGAGCCTGCTTCTCCCTCTGCTCGTGTCTCTGCCTCTCTCTCTCTCTCTCTCTCTCTCTCTCTCTCTGTATCTCTCATGAATAAATAAAATCTTTAAAAAATATAGTTTTGTATGTATGCTCATAAGTATTTGTATCTATATTCATGAGGTTGGCCTGAAATTTTTCTTTCTCATGCTTTGAGTTTGCTACCAAAATTATACTGGCCTTCTAGAATGTATTGGGAACATTCCCTCTTTTTCTGTTCTCTGCAAATGCTTGAATAAGATTGAACAAGCTGTTCACTGAAAATTTGGAGAACTTGCTACTGTGATCATTTGGGGTTTAGTGTTTTCTTGGTACAAGATTTTTAACTATAATTTCAATTTATTTAGCACTTATTGGTTTCTTAAGTTTTTCTAATTCATTTTGAGTCAATTAGTAGGTTACATTTTCCCAATTTTGTCTATTTTCTAGACATTCTAAAATTAGTTGATACGGAGTTCTTGTAGGGGTCTTTTATCTTTCTAACCTCCATTGGACCTGTATTTATGGTCATTCTTGTAATTTGCCATGTTTATTTGGTTATTTTCCATGTTTATTTTCTCTTATATTAGTTGTCCCAGAGGCTTCATAAACACTATCTCATTCCTAGATTTCTGCCCTTATCCTTAACTTTTTTACTTCTACTTTCTTTTGGATTATTTTGGTACCTTTCATAACCTGCCTGATATTCTAAAAAGCAGTTTGCCTGTCTTCCCCTACTAGATTTTAAAGCTCTTAGAAGTCAATGCTTCATATCTTATTATTTTTTCTTTCCAGAAAGTCTACAGCACGATATTTTATCTATAATAGATCTTTGATAAATTGTTGTCAAACTTGAATCTTGACGGCTTGGGTTTTGTCTACTGCTGTTTTCTCTTTCCACTGTGATAAACTAATTTTGTCTCATGTCTTCTTCAGTCATCATACTCCAGGGACGGTAACTTTCAAATCAAATCTTCCTATTTCTCCTCCCTTGGCTAGTGTAAACTTGGGCATCTCACACTGTTCCCCCTCCCTAGCCAGTACCTCTCATAACTTTTCCATAATAAAGGCACCATCATTCTTCCAGGTGCAGAAACTCAAAATCTTGCTGAAATTTTGATCACTCTTTGTCTGACTTCAACTAGTCACAAAGTCCTGTTAATTTTTACTTTACAGTGTTACTCAGCTCCATACCTACCTCTCTGTTTCAGCCGAGAAGACCTTGGACAAAGCCTAGTCCTGATACTTCCCCCTCTCCTATCATCTCATGGGCTGTCATATAAAGGTCATATTACTTCACCTGGCATTTAAGACTATCCAGAGTCTAGGTTCATTTTACTGCCCCCAACAGGGGTCTTCTGTTTTCTGACCAGAGTTCTGTCCAGGTTACTGTCTCCTAAGCCTCTCTTTTGTAGCCTTTTTCACCTCCTTTGGTTCTCTTTCTCTTGCCTTTCTGCTCTGCCATGCTGGTTCCTATTCATTCTTCAAGACCTGGATAAGGGACACCACCCTTGCCCTCACCTCCAAGGAGTATATCCTTCAACAATGGAAACTCTAGTTAATCACTTCCTCCTTTGAACTGCTTTGTTTTTTAAGTGCTGTTGTTTTCATTGAAACTTTAAAAAGAGCAGCAAATTAGAAGGGATCTAAAAGTAATCTGGTTTAACCTCTTAACTCAAGACCTCACTCCTCTCCATAACTCATATATAGCATTAGCTTCTAATATGATTCAAAGCTCCTGTTTTTTCTTTCTACTTTATGTAACAAGCATCTGGAGGTTAGGAATTTGGTTCATCATGCGCTTGTATTTCCTCTTAATCGTTAATGTTTTTTGTCCCGGGAAGACACTAAAAATATATTCATTGATTGAATAAATGAATCATACGTTTTCTCCATAAATAGTTTACAGAGGAGACTGACTTGCCCAAAAGCCTGTTCTACTGCTCCTCTGTTTCCAAATATCTACAAGTGAGGATGACTTACAAAACAGTGGATACATTTGCAACCTGTTTTTTCTTTATATAGCTCTATATTAGCCTTGGTTTTTACTTTCCTGTGTCTTGAAATCATATTTGGAATTTCTCACTTTTGCATGAAAACGCATATGTATTTTAATAATAGAGTCTGTTGTATGTTGATTGTATTTCCTATAGTAGTTTAGAAATATTTAGCAAGGAGTATTACATTTGATTCGTGTAAATGAATACAGTGATGTTGTGGTTAGATATTTTACATAAAAATTTGCAGCCACAAAAACTTCGTGGGCAGCAACTGGACAGTCTATAATATTTGCAGGTTTTTAAAAAAATATTGTTACTTTTGTGGGGTATACAGAAATGATAGTTTTAATTTCTTTATAATTATTTGTATGATATAATTTTGAAAATAAGATATTTTCAAAGCAAAGATGTTTATAGAAATTTAGCGCTGACTTCAAGTATGTCAAATGCTTTAACTATATACAGGGTACTTAAATTCTATTACAGTTTTGTTGAAAATACAGAAGTGATATTTTCATATTTTAAGAACTTCTTTCCATTTTAGAGCATGTCAAAATAAGCATAGTAATTTGAATGCTCTATTTTTATTTCTAGAAACCAGCAAATATCCTAGTAATGGGAGAAGGTCCTGAAAGGGGGAGAGTCAAAATAGGTAGGTAATTATTTCTAAAATAATTTATTAAGAAACTGAAATGACTGCAAAGGTGGTATCCCTTTTTTAAGATTCATATTAAGTAGTTAATTTTAAAATGACTTCTTCATGGCATTTTTAGAAAATATGTTGGGAAGTGTAGATAGATAGTTTATAAAACTCCTCAGAGGGTTTATTCCCCAAATAAGGTTCTGTGTTTCTAAGCTGAGGCAAGCAAGCCCACAAAAACTTCCCATATCGTACCCAAGCTTGTGTTTATACCATGATTACTGTCTCACAGTGTCCCTGAACATAATCTGCTAAGTCTTGCTTTTGTCTCAGCTTTTCCTGAATGCCTCTCTCCCACCTGACCTAAAGCACACATCTTCCCAGATACCATTCTTCTGCCCCCTGCATGCCTGTGCCAGGTACCAACATATTTTTTCCAAATGAATACATATGTTTATAAGACTCTTACTTGGTGGTCTCAAGTTAAGGCACCAGCAGGAACTTCATCTATAATATTAAAATTTCCTTTGCAACCCTGAAGGTTGTTCTAAAAGAAATTGGCATCATTTATACCTGTGACATTTTTAGGAAGAAAATGAACTAAAGAAGTGCTTTATTCTAATTTTTTTTTGTAACAGAAATTACATGTACTAAATGGTCAATGATTTTTGGAAGGATTTTAAAAGAAATTTCGTCTCATCAATCTGCTTTCTTTGCTGTTTGTACATATCATACTAAGGGTGCTAAGCTGACCTGCTACACATCCATTCCATCCTGCTACAACTGAGCCTGCCTGCTGCCCCGTCTTCTACTTCTTCAATTCGTTTGCTAGTCTGGCTCCAGAAAAAGCTGTTTTCAGCCAACTTCCCTTTCTTTAAACCTCTATGTTGAGTTTACTGAGATTCAGAATCATAAAAAATGTTGTCGGTGGTCACTAAGAACCAAGTAGCAACTTTCCTTCCCTTGCCTCCCACCCCACCCCTGGGCCCTCCACGACTCCCCACTTGCTCCTGTGTCTCCCTTATGCTTTTTCTTGTAGGCATTTGAGTCCCTACCTCTTGCTAGATATTGGTGAAGGGGAAAGGGTGGTGGAGGATGGCCCTCCCTGTGAGAGACAGTGACACAGACAGTTCCCTGCCCAGAGTGGTAAATGCCATTACATGTTACCTCATGTACTTACACAACCACCCCTGTGACAGAGGAGGGGAGCTAGCTGACTTTGGAGAGGTTGCAGCTTACGTGGCCTCTCCAAGGGAGGACTCGAATTCCAAGTCCAAAGTCTCTTTCCCTGCAAACGTTGCTGCCTAGCAATATCAAAGCTGTCTGCGGTACCCTCACCGAGCACTTTCTGCCAGCACAGTGCTGCCTTTGAAGGGATCTCGGACAAAGAGTGACGCTCCCCTTCTGAGTCCTGTCTGGGCCACCCCACCCCACCCCGCCCCAGCTTCTGAAGATCTTCCTGTACTAAAGCCCTCACACTGCTGTGTCTCCACTCTCTGCTTCCCTAGTTTCTCCTCTTCACCTTTAAACATTCGTAATAAATAAATAAATAAATAAATAAATAAATAAATAAATAAACAAACAAACAAACAAACAAACATTCGTAATCCTTTTCCCAGTTCTGGAATAAGCCTTACTCATATCCATTGTGTTTTCTTTACCATTTGTTCATTTTCTGCCCCCTTGTTCCTTTACTTCTAGAACACACAGTGTTCACACACTGGTTCTACTCACCCATGTCTGTGACCAGTCTGGCCTCACTGGTCAGACTGCCTTTTCCCTTGGTCTCTGTGACATCACAGAATTCTCTTTCCCATTCACCACTTTTGCTCACTCTTCTGCATTTTACTCATCATTGGCTTTTCCTCCTATTATTAGCCTTTTGTTTCAAGATCCCCTGGGCGCTGGCATGGGGTGTGGCCTCCCTCTACAATTACTTCTTTAAGGCCCTGATAAGTTGTGGCCTTAAAATTGTGGGTTCTATAAAAATCATTTTAAGATCTGAATCTCAGATTCTCTTCTCTCACCCTCGCCAAAAGCTCTGCCTTTATTCGGATGAGCTGCTGGCAACCTCTACTCCATTGTTTCAAACCAGATTCACCGTCACCATCCTGGACTCTCCCCTGTTTGTACCGGTCATCATGTTATCCCGGTCACCCGCCCTTCTGTCTTCTCCCTACCACTCCCAGATGTCTCTAGTTCTCCTCAGCATAAATTCTGTGTTCTAGCCAGGCCCGTTAGTTGCCCTCCTGTTAAGAGTTTGAGAATTGTAATGCTGTCCAAGATTAGGAATAAAAATCAGGGTTAAAAGTAAGCAATAAGCTTAATAGTAAATAATTGTCTAGTAGTCAATCTAGTTGATTAAATTGCTTTTAAATTTTGTTTCACTCGTATGTTACTGTTTAAACACTAGTAATGCCCGGATGCCTATGCTTAACACTTTAATAGTCATTTTTTGAGTGAAGGCAAAAGCGCAGTCAAGTGGAAAACGCATCGTACCCTTAGCTGCACCTGAGCCTCCCCCGCCCCAGCAGCCTGAAGACTTCGGGCCTTCCCTGGAACCCTCTTGCTTGCCTGCAACCCCCCTTACTGTTTTGTTTTGGTTTTTTAAAACTTTTATTTATTTATTCATGAGAGACACATAGAGAGACAGGCAGAGTGAGAAGCAGGCTCCACGCAGGGAGCCCAGTGTAGGACTCGATCCCGGGACTCCAAGACCACACCCTGGGCTGAAGGCAGGCGCTAAACCACTGAGCCATCCAGAGATCCCCATCCCCTCCTTACTGTTCACAGTGACTCCCCCCTGGGAAATCCAGCTCAAGCCCCACGGTCAGTTTCGTCCACTGCTACAGAGGTGTACCAAACACTGTTCCAGCTCAAGCCAGGGAGGAGACATGGCCTGCCCCTCAAAGGACATAGAATCTAGTGGAAGCCACTGGCAACTGGCCTTTGGCCCTTACAGTACTTATTACCCTTTTGGTTTTTGTCTACTCCATGTTTTTTGTCACCTTCCCTTCCTGTAAGCTCCTTGGTGGTGGACACGGCCTTTTCCTGCTTTTCTCTATCATTTGATACTGTCTAATTAGCACTCACACCTGAATTTTATTACTGCAGTGTATTGAATTGAACAGTTTCACTCACATCTAATTTTAGGAAAACAACCATTAGTAATGTTTAGGTCAGTTACCCTATGTCTAAAGTAGAGATTACCTGAGAAAAGGTTTGAAATTCCTCTAAGTTCAAACAATAGACAGGAATTATTACTATCCCTTATACAATGAAAACGTACTGTGTATATTATCTATTTCAAATTATAGAGGTTTTTTTTTTTTTAATTCTTCCGATTTTTCCTTTGTGACATGGTATTATCTCTACTGGATGTCCCATCAATGCGTAAGAATATAGCTGCTAAATTATAACATGGCATTTTTACTTCCTATCCCTATGACCTTGGGCAAGTCATCTAACCGCTTTTGGGTTTGCTTTAGATTCTTCATCTCAGAGGTGGGGAACAACATGCTTACTGAACCAGCATTCGAATGAGGATTAGATGAAGTTATGTATGATATATGTGAAAACCATCTGTAAACTCTATCAAGTGCTTGATAGATAAAAAGTATTTGTTATTTATGAAATCTTTTTTTAAATTTTTTTATATATATTTTTTATATTTATGAAATCTTAAGAAAATTAGTCTCCCGGAACTCATTAGAATAATAACCATTCTTTTGCTACTTGTGTACACCTCTGATATTTAAATCACCTTTGGTATAGATCTTTGTTAAATCCTGAATTATAACAAATTATCTCTTACATATCCTATACATGTTCTTGGTAACATGGTTCTTGGTATCCTATAAAGTGTGCTGGTAATTATACAACAGTGGCTCCCTGGGGGAAAAAAGCCCCAGTTTGTAGCATTTGCTGTTTTTCATGATGTAAATATTCCCATCATAGCCAATTTCAAGTCACCAACATGACATCACTGAACTCAGAGTTGGGAAGACATATGTACAAATTGGCTCTCGTGCGTCCATGAGCCAACTGCAGCTCACACCAAACCAAGATGGAGTCAGTTTTTAGATGCAAAGGCATACAGAGGTCATAACTCATCATGTTCAGACTATTTCAATTTTATAAAACATTTAAGATGATAATGTTTCTGAAAGCTGGGGATCTGAAGTCAGACTTGGACATGGTTGCAGACATGCAACCTTCAAGTAGCATACCAAACTGAGTTTTATATTAATTTATTTAATTTTCTAGCTGACATGGGTTTTGCCAGATTATTCAATTCTCCTCTAAAGCCACTAGCAGACCTGGATCCAGTGGTGGTGACTTTTTGGTACCGGGCTCCAGAACTTCTGCTTGGTGCGAGGCATTATACAAAGGCCATTGGTAAGTTAGTCTCAGACGATTTCCGATCGTAGCACTGAATGATCATGAATACCAAGTGGTACAATAATAATGAAGCTGTTTTATAAAAACCACTCTTCCATCCCTTTGTCAAAGTCCTCCTGTCTTCTGCATCCCTAGATTTTATATTCTGGTAGATTAGCCTTTTTAACTATGGTTCTTTAAAAAGAAGAAAGCATTTCCTGTTAGAGAAGAGACTTACCTGATCCTGTTGTGTTGCTATGGAAATGATAATGCGCTGATTTTATTTCCCACTTGCCTACCATTGATTAAGAAGAATTGGAGAGAGGTTTAGTAAGAATTGTTTTCTCCACAAAAAGAAAACCAGAAAACCAGATATAACGTGATGTTGAAGAGAGCCCCTTCTATCTGGTGGGAAAAGTCAGTCAGTCAGTTCTTTCCTCAACAAGAAATAATGTGACTAATTTTTCTCTCCTGCCATTACTGTTATCAGGATGACGGGTTCTCCATTACAGTAGGAAATAGAGTCTGGGTGGATTAGCTGTGCTCAGCATCTTGCCATTTCAGTAAGTGAAAAAAAACTGAGTAAGAGAATCTGTTATAAACACACTTTCTGTAGAATTTAAAGTCTGCTCCAGAACAGAGGCAGCAGAGATTTTACTACTGATCACTGCTGTGTCCTTGGAGTGCCCAGCTATGAACTGGGGGAGTCAGGAACACGGAGCTCTCCTCAAACCTAGAGATTTCTTTTTTTTAAAAAAATATTTTATTTATTTATTCATGAGAGACGTACAGAGAGAGGCAGAGACAGGGAGAGGGAGAAGCAAGCTCCCTGCGGGGAGCCCGATGTGGGACTCGATCCCAGGATCCTGGGATCATGACCTGAGCCGAAGGCAGATGATCAACTATGGAGCCACCCAAGTGCTCCCTAGAAATTTCTTTAAATGAGGTAAAAAGAGAAGATAGAGAAGGGTAAATAGTACTGTCACTGTGATGGGCTAGTTCTGTAAGTACCAAAATCTGCTGGGTGTATTTCTTGAAAATTTCTTTCTGATGAATTTTCCATTTACTGGTATTAGTCTCCTATCATATTTTACTACATTTAGCTGCTTTGGTTAAGTTCTATTTAATAAAGGCACTAAATAATAAAATTATTAAAGATAGTTGAATGTAACCTTTCTCTGTTAAATTTGTGAAAAACCTGGTGGCATGCAAAGAACTACAGAGGTAGTTCCTATGTTTGAAAAGATTAGACTGATAATTAACCTGTTTGTGGATAAAAGGAGAAACAAAGATTAAAATATAGTGAGCAATGTCCTCATTCAATAGGTCTAGTTTCTGCAAAATTCTGACACCCAGCACACATCTATACTATGTCTAAGGATTGAGATGCCAACACAGTTGCTGAAATCTTGTAATACTTTTTAAACATTGCTGAAAGGTTCTGTTAAGTTGGTGAACAAGCCTATGAGTGTTTACAGTAGGGGAGTGTGAGACCAGCCTTCAACCCTACTGCTAACAGCCGAGCCAATAGTAAGGCCCCATTCAGAGGCTGCTGAGGCCATGCTATGGGCCTGAGACCGGACCATGGCAGCTGTATCTGAAGGATACAGAAAAGACAACTATACAAGCAGATGGAAGGAATAGAATGGTCTCAGAATGAGGGGTTAAAATTAGAGCCTGACTCTACTTACATCCCAGTGAGTGATTTTTACCAAGAAGCTGTACCTTTGAAACTTTTGGAATTATGTGTGCTTTTTCTGTTCGATCTCTCCACTGAGAACAGTAAAATCTCTTAGACAATCTCAGAAAGCACTAGGGGATAGGGAGAGACTGAAAATACCCCAGAGAAAGGGGTTGTTAGCTGGGAAGTAACAGGCGGTGCCTCAGAGCAGAACTGATGATGAGATAACCCAGGGCACAGGGCAGCTAGTCGAGGACATGGTAACAGTAGAAATCCACCTGCTCTCGGCTCTTAGCAAGGTCTCTACAGAGTATATCTAGGAGGGAGATTTTTAGGCAGAAAAGGCACATTCAGCCAAACCTTCTTGGACTCCCCACCAAAACCTGTCCCACTCTCAGAGATTCTTAGAGGACAAATCCATGGTGTAGTAAGTCTCATTTATGATATGTGCCATTGCAGGAGTCTGTTGTATGCGGTCCACACATTTTGACAGTCCACACTTTGAGAAGCACAATTCTATGAATATTTTTTTTGAAGATTTTATTTATTTGACAGAGAGCACAAGCAGGTGGAGCAGCAGGTACAAGGAGAGGGAGAAATAGGATCCCCGCTGAGGAGAGAGCCCGACAAGACTGTGGGGCTCCATCCCAGGACCCTGCTATCATAACCTGAGCCAAAGGCAGATGCTCAACAGACTGAACCACCCAGGAACCCTGAATATTTTCTGATTAACTGTTCTTCTATTGAAATAAAATTAGGTGTTTTGGGAGAAATAAAGATAATTGGGTATAAATTGGAAAACAACTCTATTTCCTATTTCCTCAGGGTGTGGACAATAAAATTGAATTTAAACTAGTTTGCAACTTACAGATAAAGATAATTTCCAATTTTAGTCAAGTTGCATTTATCCATTCTGGATAGAAATTAGGAAGAAAGAAAAAAGACACAGAAAAAGAGTAATCCCCAAATCAGTTATTCTTAGGCTTCACATATATTCTTTTTTTTTTTAAGATTTTATTTATTTATTCATAAGGGACAGAGAGAGAGAGAGGCAGAGACATAGGCAGAGGGAGAAGTAGGCTTCCTGTGGGGAGTCCGATGTGGGACTTAATCCCAGGACCCTGGGATCACGACCTGAGCTAAAGGTAGACACTCAGCCACTGATCCAACCAGGCATCCCAGCTTCACATATCATAGCAGACATTATAAATACAACAAATGCATACACATTCACTTGTTCTTACTCTTCTCCATACCTGGTTCATGTCAGAAATGAGTATTATTTCTATTCAGAGCATATAAAAGAAGAGTTTGATGATTTGATATCACAAAGTTTCATGGAGTGATTTAGGGGGGAAGAGGAGTGATAGCGTTTGTGTGTACGTGTGTGTGTGTGTGTGGGTGTGGGTGTGGGTGTGGGTGTGTGGAGGGAGGGAAGAACACATCATTGATAGAAGAATGAGAGCTGAGAAATGGTATAGATGATACAAGAGCCAGATGACCATTTAAAATTAGAGGTTAATAGGAGGCAAGATATCCCAGAACTTAACATTACTTGCTGCACTAAGGTTCTTTTTCTTAGCAATTCTCAGAGGAATCTGGATCCTGGCTTCTGTCCTTTTCTTTCTTTCTTTTTTTTTTTTTTTAAGATTTCATTTATTCATGAGAGACACAAATCAATTCACTTGTACATTTGGCAAAGCATTGTGAATGTATTATTATAGTCTTAGAATCAAAATTACAGTTTTTCAACATGTAAAATCCAAATAGAATAATCTATCACTGGTGATTTAAAATAGTAAAACTTTTAAAGATGCCTAACTTTATCTTGGAGTGTTAGAGAATTGGAGCAGCTTAATCCAAATGAATATATTCAAATATCTGTCTCTATGGTGTCATGCCATACCTGTAGACACTTGTATTTATCAGCTTCTAGACCTTACAGTTGGTTGAAAAAATTGAAATTGGTAGTCTTTCCAACAAAAGTAGAGCTTTTCCAGGTCATGTTATATGGTCTGTACTGTCTATCTACACTCATGCATCAGAAATTATGATCTATTGTTGTGCATTTGACTGCCTTAAAGGAATGTCTGACTATACCTGATGATGACATTGTTTAGTCTATTGGGTCATGAGTATTACCTGCATTAAATTATCAATTGAATGCTTCAGTGACTACATTATTCACAATGGTTGGGAAAAGCTTTTGCCTAGGTGTAAATTCATTGCTTGCTAAATTGAGTTTCCCAAGTGTATCTTGATTAGAAAATTTACAAATCAATGTTTTTATATTTGGCTTTTAATCTGTTATGTGATGATACAGCTATTTCATGTCATATATATATATATATATATATATATTTATGTTTTTATATGTTTTCTTAATATGGTTGTCATACTTTGTATATTCCATCACTGAAAACTATTTTTATATGTAGGTATGAAAATACTCAGGGATTATAACCCAAGAAATATAATAAATCTGTACAAAAACTTGTTTTTCTTCCTTCATAGATATATGGGCAATAGGTTGCATATTTGCTGAATTGTTGACTTCAGAACCTATTTTTCACTGTCGTCAGGAAGATATAAAAACAAGCAATCCCTTTCATCATGATCAACTAGATCGGATATTTAGTGTCATGGGGTTTCCTGCAGGTAATTTATTTTTCTTTTCAAAATAACATTGGAGTCATATTTCAAAATAATTCCTTTTCAAAAACATATTTTATTTTTATGTCTATTTTTAAGCTAACATAAGTAGATTTTTAAATATAAGTAACATTATTTTCTATAACAATATTCGATATTTTTTTGTAAGATAAAGATTGGGAAGATATTAGAAAGATGCCAGAGTACCCCACACTTCAGAAAGACTTTAGAAGAACAACGTAAGTAATTTCATGTTAAATATAAGTAGTAACTTCAATGGGAATATCTCAATCAATCCTTTTAGAAACCAGATACAGATTAGTGTTTAAGCCAGACATTTAGATTTTAGATTTTAATATATTAATTATGCTCATGATTTAAAGAAGATATTCCAGATGTTGCTAATGTACATGTCAGGCTTAGACTGTAGTATTTTACAAACTTCTAAGAATTTTAAGGGTCAGTATAGCATTTAAATGTCTCTCCTATTTTAGCATGATGAGGGCTCAGTTCAAGGCCACAACTGTGATTTTTATCTTTATCTGAATAATGACCGGTGAGCGAAATGCTGGGTTAGACAACCAGGAAGTATAGCAGAAGGAAGAACGCATGGCCCAGAAGCCGAGTAAAACACACCGGTGTATACTGAGTAGAAATGAGAGAATAAAGGTGACAGCGTGAGAGGGGTTTGTTGTAAATGTGCACGCCCAGAGGAAAAGGTGAAAGGGGTTCTCTTTTGGGCAACTTAACAGGAAAATTTCAGGACAGGATGACATGTAAGAATGAAAGCAGGCATGATAAAGAAAGGTAGGAAATGGCACCACACATTTTTGGCCTCTCTCTTCCACGGTCCCCGGTGGGGTATTTTTCCTCTGCCTCTTAAAGGCACTCCTATTGCTCAAGGTTCTGTCTTGGACTCTCTTCTCACTCTGGACGTTTTCCCGAGCAGTTTCTCTGATTTCATTGGCCACAATTTACCACTGATTACGCTGATAACTCCCAGTTTTTGCATCTGACTCAGATCTCTTCCCAGGTTTCAGACCCACTTATCTAATTGCCTTCTGGAATCCCAATGTGAATGTTCCATAAACACTTCAAGTTCAGTGTCCAAAACTGAACTCATCATCTATCCTCCCACACCTTCCTCCTGCTGTATTTCCTATCTTAGGAAATGACTCCATGATTCACCTAGTTGTTCCAGCCCAAGACCTAAGATATCCCTGATCTTCTCTTATCCTATTCTCTTCCATTTTACCCTGCAGGGTTCAAACAATTAGTAAATCTAGTCAGTTCTTTGTATTTCTCTCCATCTACCTTGCCACTATTACAGTCCAGACAGCAACTCTCTCTCACTTAGGATCCTGCAGTGGCCTTCCAAGTGGAAGACCTCCAATCTTCATTCACACTCACTGTCTATACTGCAGTCATGGCCAAAAGCAAATTTGATCATGTTTGGTCTCCTAGTTGCTCTTAATTCACTGTACTCTAAATTCTGAGTGTGACTTACAGAGCTTTGGCTTCTGCACCACCATCATCTACTAAACCACTGTCTACTTTTTATTCTATAGCCTGGACATCATGAATTTCTTTAAGAATCTGAAAACCTGGGCAGCCCAGGTGGCTCAGTGGTTTAGCGCCACCTGCAGCCCCAGCTGTGATTCTGGAGACCTGGGATCGAGTCCCACATTGGGTTCCCTGCATGGGGCCTGCTTCTCCCTCTGCCTGTGTCTCTGCCTCTCTCTCTGTGTCTCTCATGAATAAATAAATAAAATCTTAAAAAAAAAAAAAAAAGAATCTGAAAACCCCAGAGTTTTGTTTTTTGTTTTTTTTTTTTTCTTTACTTCTGGGTTTTTACACATGCTGTTCCTTTAGTCTACGATATACTTTCCTCCCACTCATTCTAACTTCTCAGATTAACTTCCTTTCTGCTTATCCTTTCAATCTTGGCTTAGGCATCACTTGCCTGCTGAGGCCTCCATTGCCCTTCTAGGTCTGTTAGGTAGTCCCCTTCTGTACTGTGACATCCTTGCTGCTCCTCTCAGCACTGATGACTTTGCACTACAGTTAGCTTTAGAACACTTACCTGCCTCTCCCTCTAGATAGTATGGGTTATGTCGACTTTATACACCATTATCTGTGTCTCCAGGGCCTGGTACATAAGTACATGCTCACTAATGACTTGTCAAATGGGTATTAACGAAAGTGGTACAAGTAATTGAAGACATACTAGTAGTATAAAAGAAGAAGAAAATTTTTAAGCACTTAACATTCGTCTAAGTGTTTAAAGACTAAAGGAAATTTTTCACATCAAATGATAGTGTTTACAGTAACCAGAAATAAATGGAGAGAAGTTTTAAAAGATAAATGAAATTCAGTTGGAAAAGTAATAGGAAAAGCTCAGCAGTAAGAGCCTATACGTCTTATGCAAACGGTTCTACCCCCATGAAAGAGGCTAGTGATGGGTAAGATGAAAGGAATTTATTAAAAATTAGCTAAATCTAATAGAATACATACCAGTCACTGAAGTAAAATATAATTTAAGAATTCCAGAAAGCATCATTTGAAATGACATAAAAAGTAATATAACTTTCTTTCATTATATCAGATGAAAAGAACCCCCAAAATTCCTCTTAAGTGAATTGGGAAGGATAGTGATATAAGCTTCTATAATCTTTCCAGAGTGTCAGCTCTTGTTAGCTCAGTAGAAGGCAAGGTGAAAATGGAACTAAAAGGAAATCTCTAAGTCGACTTTAAAATTGATTGTTCCAATAAGCATTCAATATCACATTCCAAATAACTTAGAATCTAGAGTTAACCCAAGAAATCAGTTGATGCATCATAAAGACCAAAGAGATTTTTGTAGACAAACTCCATTTCTACATTAACTAAAATTTCTTCCCATTAACAAACTTAGTAGCTACCTTGCTAATAAAAATGTTCCTCATTACTGGAGGGAAAAAAATGTAAAAAAAAAATATTTTTTTAAAAAAGATTTTATTTTCTTATTTATGAGAGAGAGAGAGAGAGAGAGAGGCAGAGACACAGGCAGAGGGAGAAGCAGGCTCCATGCAAGGAGCTTGACATGGGACTCGATCCTGGATCTCCAGGATCACGCCCTGGCATGAAGGTGGCACTCAACCACTGAGCCACTCGGGTTGCCCCAATTTTTTTTTTTTTAAGATTTTATTTCTAAGCAATCTCTACATCCATCATGGAGCTCGAACTTTACAACCCTGAGATTCAGTTGCATGCTCTACCAATTGGTCCAGCCAGGCGCCCAGAGAAAATTTTAAATTAATACACATGGCAAAGATTTTAAGAATGAACATACCTAGGGATGGCAAGGGTATGATAAAATGGGCACTCTTCCTTGAATGTGACTGCTGAGCCAGAGTGTTTCTCAAACTTTAATTTACATACAAATCACCTGGAGACCTTGCTAAAAATGCAGGCTCTCAGGGACCCATGCTGCCTGTCTTAGGGCCAGCTCTGTGTAGCAAGGTTCGTTCTGTAGTACATAAAAATGGCTTTGAAATGTCCCTTTCCTCTGACCTAAGAAATTCAAGAATTTATCCTGTGGGAGCAATCAGAGCAGTCACACATGGCTTGCCAAGTACTTACTATGTGTCAGGCATGGTGCTAAGCCCTTAGCTGCACTTTCTCGGATGGTCCCCACAACAACACCGCTATTAGATAGGTATGATTATAATCCTCAGCTTTCAGAGGAGGAACCTAGGCTTTCACTGGGGTTGACGAACTGGTAAATCCTTTCTGATCCTCACCTGCTGTGCAGCATTGTCTCCCCACCATGCAGATCAGATTAACCTACAAGGACACAGATTTCTTAACTATTGTGAAACAAACAACATCAGAACAGTAGGAATATACAACCCCTGCAAATTAGTAGTTTAGGGAGTGGTAGACAAGGAAAGAAGTTTATTATTAAGTGAAAAGAGGGCAGTCTGTACAGTATGATCCTGATTTTATAAAACAAAAACAAAAACTCCTCTGTGTTTGAATCAAACATAGATGCATAGCAAAAATGCCAAAGGAAAATCAGCGAAATCTCAACAGTGTTTTGGTTTGTTTGTTTTTTTTTTCTTCTAATCACTGAATGACTTACTTGACTATGTGTGATTTCAGTTTTCTTCTCTATAGTTTTCTGTATTCTCTAAATTTTCCACCATAAATGTGAAAATTTAATGTGAAATTTTTAATATGTAGGAAAGAACATACGTAACAAAAATATGATACACAGTCAATTTAGAATAATAAAATGAATACCGGTCTACCCACCCTTCAGCATTAGATTTTGTGAAATATTTCATATGTAGGAAAGAAAATACGTAACAAAAACATGATATATAGTCTATTTAGAATAATAAAATGAATACCCCTCTACCCACCCTTCAGCATAAGAAATAAAACATCACTAAGATTACTGAAGTGCTCTGTGCACCCTGCCTTCCTGTTCATGTCCCTCCCAGTGGGTAAACGTTATTCTGAATTTGTATTTATCATTCTGCATTTTTCATTCTGGTTTTGCTATAGATGGACATATCTCTAAATGGATTATTGTTTCAGTTTAATATATCTCAGAACTTTATATAAATTATATTACAGTCTGTATTTTCTTCTGCAGTTGGCTTTTATTCCCCACACAACCTCTGTATTCATTTTTACTATTTTTAAAAAAGATTTTATTTTTATTTATTCATGAGAGACAGAGAGAGGCAGAGACATAGGCAGAGGGAGAAGCAGACTCCCCGTAGGGAGCCTGATATGGGACTCGATTCTGGATCCCTGGATCATGCCCTGAGCCAAAGGCAGACGCTCAACTGCTGAGCCACCCAGGCGTCCCTCATTTTTACTATTGTATAACACATAACAACGTACCCATTCTTTAGTGGATAGACACTGGTGTTGTTTACAGTTTTTTTCTACTACAGAAATGCAGCTAAGAACATTCTTGCCCACGTATCCTGTGATACACATGCACAAAGGAATCTCTTAGACTATGTACCTAGGAAAGGAATTGCTAGATTTTAGGTTGTTCACATTTTCAATTCTAAGGGTTAGTTGTCCCCCCCCCCCCCCAAGCAACTGTGACAATAGAAACTCTTAGGTGTGGTGTTTAACAATCCCTGCTTCTTCCCACATTTACCAATATTCAGTTATGTGTACTTTTATTAGAAAAAACAATGGCCTAAATATGTACCTTATGGGAAAACCAATCTGGGAGCTTTCCATTAAAAAATACAAATTGTGTAAACTGTACTTAAGTAAATGAACATTTTTTGAAAAAATGAAGTGAAGCAAAACAAAACGTGAGTGTTCCCAGTGATGTGTGATTGTCATGTCCTTGCAGGTATGCCAACAGTAGCCTCATAAAGTACATGGAGAAACACAAGGTCAAGCCTGACAGCAAAGTGTTCCTCTTGGTAGGTGCTTCTCTTCCAGATGGAAGTTGGGTCCGTAGCACAGGCCCACCCCATCCCATTCAACATGGAATTGTGCCAGCTATTCCTTCCCTTTAGAAAGAAAAGAAATTGTTGGGGGCTGATGCAAAATTAAATACTTTTCTTTTAAGATGTCACCCTTGATTTTTAGACTTAATTTTTTCCAAAGATTTATCAGCAGGAAAAAAAATTATATTCTTAAAGGGCCTTCATGCTAATGATTTCTGCCAATTTCACATAAATGTGTGTGGTGTCCTAATAGCACGGTGAGCTCTGCAAAATGGCATCTGATATTAATCCTGCTAGACCTTAATACAAAAGTCAAAACATTGATAAGCAGTCTTTCCGTGTGCTATCAATTTCTTATGTGTTACTCTAGCTTCAGAAACTCCTTACTATGGATCCAACCAAAAGAATTACCTCGGAGCAGGCTTTGCAGGATCCCTATTTTCAGGAGGACCCCTTGCCAACATTAGAGTACGTATTGTACGTGTTCTGTGTTCTTTGCTCCAGGTCGGGGGTGTCGGATGATGGCTGCAAGTAAGATAAGCCCTTGTTACTGCAGTATTACAAGTTCTCCATTAATACTACCTCGGAGAAAAAGTACTCAAGAGAAAGGGCCCGTATTCTGAAACAGGCAAAGCCATAGAGAGGTGTGAATGGAAACAAGTATTTTAGAAAGGACCATTATTCAGGGTTACAGAAAAAAACTGAAGCTGAGAACAGGTGGGACTTTGAGAGGTCAGTCAGCCAGATAAGTTTAAGCCAAACCAGTAGGGAACTAAGAATTTAAAAGTCTGTGTGTCCACTCTACTACCAAAACCCTTGTGTTTCCCCCTCCTTGTTACACCCACGTGCTTGTGTTTATTAGAGATGCAGCTTTTCTTGGGCGGGGTGGGGAGTATTTTCATTGTTGAGGCAATTACAAATTCAGTTTTGTTTTGTGTGCTAATAAATTTTCTGTGGAAAAACTTCCCCATCATATATGTCAACTAGCTAACAGCAGTTAAGATTTGTTACTGAAAATGGTAATTATTATAAAACTTAGACAATTTTTTTTTTCCAGAGAGAGAGAGAAGGGGGTAGGGGTGAATGGCAGAGGGAGAGAGAGAATCTCAAGCAGGCTCCGCACATGTGTGCCCAGCGCGGGTCAGAGCCTGACTCAGTGCTCGATCTAACAGCCCTGGGATCCTGACCTGATCCGAAATCAAGAGTCAGACACTTAACTAACTAAGCCACCCAGGCACCCCACAAATTCTTTTCTTATTTGCTTGAATTCAGTTGTCTTGGGAGGCATCCCGCAAATATTAGCTAGAGCTGAAGAGTGGGACATAGCTTAAGAAAAAAAGTGGAATTTTAAGTTAACAAGGTCAATGATACTGTAGATTTTAGGTCGTGATGTATATTCTTTTTTTTTTTTTAAATGGTGTTGTAGTGTGTTTGCTGGCTGCCAGATTCCATACCCCAAACGAGAATTCCTTAATGAAGATGAACCTGAAGAGAAAGGTGACAAGGTATAAAGCTACACGGTACACATCACTTCCAGAGAATAAGGGAGGCAAAAAGAGAATTTAGGGAACTATAATTGAATGATTACTACGTATTTAACTGCCTTTAATTATGTATTTACATGATTGCAGATGTACTTTGCGAACTTGAAATCTAGTAAGTTTACAGATAGATGATTTCTAGCCTGTTTCATTCCCTGGTTCTTAATTGTTGGGTTTCATTTGTTCAGTGTCACTTTATGCAGGCTGCTTTCAAAGCGTCTTATTCTTTGCTGGTAACTGGGTGTATCAGGCCCTCCCCATATCCCTCTACTTTTCCAAACTCCTGATGGAGAAGACCATCACAGCTGGTTTCCTGAGAGCAGAACAGCTTCCTGGGTCCTGCATGCCCTCTGGCCGGATGTCTGGGACTGATGTGGAGGATGAGTGTGCAATCTAGATGAACTTCGGAGAATGAATCGTGTTCAGGACTCAGTACTCTGATCTTAGGGGATGTGCAGCATCCGGCTGGAGTCACTTTGGCATCCCCACCCCAGAGGGGCTCTCCAGCTTGGTCCTTGGGCAGCCCAGTGCGCCTACTAAGGAATCAATGTCCTGTTAAAAAAAGAGAAAAGGAAAAGGAAAGCAAGCACTGCCCTGTTCATTTAGTTCCATACCAAGTTTGCCTTTCTTCCTTTTCTTGCAAGAACCAGCAGCAGCAGCAGAACCAGCATCAGCAGCCCCCAGCGCCCCCCCAGCAGGCGGCAGCCCCCCCCCAGGCGCCGGCACCACAGCAGAACAGCACCCAGACCAACGGGACTGCGGGCGGGGCTGGCGCGGGGGCCGGGGGTGCAGGCGGCGGCCTGCAGCACAGCCAGGACTCGGGCCTCGGGCAGGTGCCCCCCAGCAAGAAGCCCCGCCTGGGGCCCTCGGGTGCCAACTCCGGCGGGCCCGTCATGCCGTCAGATTATCAGGTACCCCCTCAGATTCTGTTCTGGTCAAGGGTTTTTTATGAAATGGAACATCGATTTCTTAAAAAAATTTATTTAAAGAGAGAGCATGAGCAAGAACACAGCAGGGGGAGGGGCAGAGGGAGAAGCAGACCCTGGGCTGAATGGGGAGACTGAGCCGGGAGCCCCAGGCGGGGCTGGATCCCCAGCACCCCAGGGTCACGACTTGAGCCAAAGGCAAGCCGCTCAAGCAGTTGAGCCTCCCAGACAACCCAGAAGTCAATTTGATCCTAGAGCCTTTTAGACTCAAGTGATACTGAACTCTAAAGTTTGACTGTACAAATGGTACAATCCTGTTTCTAGGGCATGACATGAAAATGAAGATTTGGGTCATATTTCATTGTAATTGTGAAACATTTTGTTCCTTGGCTTGTTTTTCCTGACTTCCGGAGGAGGGAAAGTAAGGCGGGCATCTCCCTGCTCAAAGGAAATTTTTCATATTAGCCTTTGAAAGAGAGAGGAGTGGCAGCTTATTTTGGGCAAAATAAGCTGCCTACTTGAGAAAGATTTGCTGTCCCTGAGAGGAAATAATCAGTAAGTAGCCATTGTAAACATAGAAAGGGATTAAGATTGAGATGTTGCAGAAATCACTGTTCAATCTCACTAGAGATTGAGATTGAGACTAGAAAATACTTTTTATTAATAAGATTAAAAACAACAACACCCTACAGTTGTGTGGTATCTGCCTAAATGTAGTGTCTCTCTCCATGGGATGGGGACCCCCAAGTGTGGGACGAGGATGGGTGGAAGCCAGTGGCAGCTGGTGGTCCAGGCCATGAAAGAATAACAGAGGAGATCAAGGTTTATTGAATCCCCCTCAAGGGAGCCCCCGGGCAGGACAGCAAGGAGGGTGAGGGCCATAGTTAAAGCAGGAGGGTGGGGAGATAGGAAGGGTGAGGAGGTATGACGGCCATGGAACTGTCCCTGTCCTGGTAACTGCCTGGTTGTAAGTAGCCCATTGGTCAGCGAGGGCCTAGGGATGTCTTGAGGTGGGTTCCCCGATGGGCCTGTGTTCAGTCAGGGGGTCCCTGTGGGCCCTTTTGCCTGGATCACGTTTGCACTGCTCAAGCCTACAGTCTAAAAGTGGCCTCTATGGATTGTACTACTAATTTGGGAAATTAAAGGGAAAAAAGTCTAAGGATTATTAGTATTGGGGGAGAGAGAGATAAAAATACCCGTGAAAACCATAGGGAACATTACAAAACCCCATAAAACCCTGATTTTCTTTCTTTTTTTTTTTTTTAAACAATCTTCATTTTCAAGGAAAGTAATCAGCTAAGATCTAAGGAAGGGGGGGGGAAGAACCCTTAAAACCTTAAAAAAAAAAGATTTAGAACCTCAGGGTACTACTAGTGGAATAGGAGCAGGAGAATAGAGATAATAGAAAACAAAACCACAGGCAAGGAAACCATAAACTTGCTGATAAGGAACCCGAATTAAGAGAAACATTTACCAAGAAAGACACAATGAATAGCTGCCTCAGCTGGCTTTCCATTTTGAATGTATCTGCAAACTAATTTGGTTCCACACAACCTCTTCTCTGAAACCTTCCTTTGGAAGAGTCCCTGCTCGCCGAGGAGTACACGCCATAGAGCTTCCATTGGTTCTACAGGGTCAAAAACAAAAGACGACAGAGTAAATTTGAAGGTCGGGTTGGCTTTATTAAATGGCTTGTGAACTGGGCAGCGTCCCATCTAGCAAGTGCAGGGGAGCTCCCAGGAGCGGGTACAACATGGAAGCCTTTGGTAGGAAGGATGGCAGGGCAAGAGCCTTACGGGCAAAAGAGAAACGAAGATTGTTCCAGTGGTGGGGGGGGAGGGGTCGCTTTTCCCTCGGGGAAAGGGTAGGGCTCTTACCGGGCAAATTACCTGTCTTCCTTGGAGGGAAAGGAGAGGACCCAGGAGGCCGACTCTTTGGCACCCACCAGAAGATTTCCTGACTGACCTGGTAAACTACATTGCAGGGGGAGAGTTGAAACTGCAGTTAGGTCTTCAGCTCTGGTTTGGTGACTTGGCCTAAGGCACCCCACTTAGGACCCACAGTTTTCTTCTTTAAACACAACGAACACTAATCAGGGCTTCATTTTGTTCTACTAAAAACAGCTTGCTGTTTGGGTAGTAGCCATAACATATTTGAATTTTTTAATATATACAAAGTCCATCCCCCTCCCCAACAATAGTTTATTCCTATTGTGTGAGCACCAGACCGTTATCACATCCTGGTGCATCTTTGTGTCTCTGATTGTGTTATGTTAACCTGAGTGGAGTCCCACTGTGGACAGGTAACTCAGCTACTGCATTCCTTTCAAATCCAAGAATTCCTCAAAATGCTTTTCTTTGGCCCACACCGTGCCATCTGCTTCAAAATGAAACAGGCGTGCGTATGGGCTGGGGAGAGAGCTCTTCGTTGGAGAGGTCAGTGTGGCGTGGAGGTGGGAGAGGCCCGCTGCACCTGCCCACGACTCCCATTTCCCCACCTTTGTCTAGTGTAGAGGAGCTTTTGTGCAGAATCGCATCTGCTAAAGTCCAGGGATCACAGCCAGCCCAGCAATAGGATGGCTTGTGAGCGTAAAGAACATGTTTTTCGTAATAAACTTAAAAAATAAAACGTGAATCCGGAAGCATGAGAGGCTTCTTACACTAACACGACTGGTGTCATGAACACGCCGCGAAGGCGCGGACGCGAGTTGTGTCTCCACATTCGGTCAGAAAGCAGGTGCAGCAGGATTCCCAGCTCAGCGACACTTGGCCCCGTGCGTAACTCGGCTCCTTACACGGCACACAAAGCCGAACACGGGACGAGTCACGCGAGGAACAAGGTAGGACGGGGGTGGGGAAGTTCCCCGAGGGACTGTGAAGTCGGGCAGAGGCCTGGCTCGGCCGGGCGCCCCTCCCGGTCGGGCAGCGAGCCCGGAGGCCACCTGGGCAGGGCCTTCAGTGCAGGTGCCTTTTCGAAGTGGTCGCATATAGAGGGGCCAACATCTGAGGAGTCGCATAGTTTGGTGCAAAAATTCCCCCTTTTGAAGGGATTTCAGCAGTCTCTGGGCGCCTGCAGGCCTCCTCGGCGCCTGCGGACCGTCCCCCCCCCCCCCAGCCGAGGTGGTCTCAGCTGGCGCTGGTCCTGGTGACGCCTGCGATCCCCGTAACTGACACGAGTGACTCCGTCGTGCTCTCTAGACCTGGCCAGAGTCCTGTGACAGGGAGGGGGCGATGCGGAGCTGGTTTTCACCAAGGCCGTCCTATGGCCCTGCTGTCTCAGACCCGATGTTGTTAGTTCAGTTTGGCAGCGTTTGCACGCCCAGGGGAGGGGACCCTGCTGACTTGTCCTTCCCTTAACCCCCAATGCCACCTTCAGGGTCACTTACAGTTTTTACTCCAAGTGATGGTTTTATTAGTTAAGATCTTTCCTGCTTTACTCACAGGAAAATCCAGCCTTCTGAGCTTAGCTGAAGGCCCTGGGTCCAGCTATGCTTATCATTAACTAGGCCCGTGTTCTTATTCTAGAGATGATTTTTTTTTTTTTTGCATATTTGTCCCTGGTACCACGAAGATGAATGTTTCATTTAAGGCGATAAAACACCATTGGATTGAAATACATTTGTCTCTGCTTTCTCTTGAGGGTGTTTTCACGTATGAACCCCCCTTTTATTTCATTCTAAATATTACCTGAAGTTTATAAAACCCACTCATTGCCGCCACATCCTGCCCAGCCTGCCTTGCTTTGGCGGACAGGTGGTGCCGCTGATGGCACTCTAGCCTCTACCTCTGAAAATTCTTTTCTCTGAAAATGATCTCTTAATCATAGCTTTGTTATTTATAATGAGGGCATTAAGAGCACATGAGTATACATCATGGATACCACTGACTCAGTGTGCCCAAACGATCATTATTGTTTGCAAATCTCAGTTATACAAAGAATAACTCGGCAGGGTCGGTCACCGTAAAGAGCAGCGGGTCAGCATAAGGCTCCCCCTCCGCTTTTCTTTGCCACGTGAGCTTATGTCCCAGAGAAATCCAGCCAGGCTTCTTGCTCGCCGAAACGTGCCGTGACGGCAGTGCCAGGCCGTGATTCCAAATAAGCAAAGTGTAGCCGCGAGCTTAAGTTGGCTGTCCGCTGTCCACGATGCTGGATCTGGACCAGGAGCCTCCGTAAGTGGCCCCTGTGTCCTGTGCGTCCCGTTGTGATGACCATCCTGAGCCTTCCTCTTCTCCCACCAGTGATTCCCCTGTCTCTTTGCTTCCCCAGCACTCCAGTTCTCGCCTGAATTACCAAAGCAGCGTCCAGGGATCCTCTCAGTCCCAGAGCACACTGGGCTACTCCTCCTCGTCCCAGCAGAGCACACAGTACCACCCGTCGCACCAGGGCCACCGCTACTGACCGCCACGGCCCAGGGCACAGACTCCAGCAATATGATGTCCGCATTGACAAGAACCAAAAATGCAAGTGATGATGCCGTTTCAAACGCATCCACGTCGGTAGGAAGGCTACTTACTGAGCATTTTGTAGGACTGACTGATGTCTCTTCTTTATTGACTTAAAGAAGATTTTTTTGTGAAGTTTCCCCAACACCCTTGCCCCGCATGTGTTCCATTGTGACTTTGATACATCGTCTGATCTAATCCCAGCACTTAACTTCTGTAACCTTCAGCATTTTTTGGAAGGATCTCCTGGTGCACCTTTCTCATGCTGTAGCAATCACTATGATTTATCTTTTCAAAGCTCTTTTAATAGGATTTTAATGTTTTAGAAACGACTCCAGTGGTGTATAGTTTTATACTTCATGAACTGATCTAGCAACACAGGTTTAAAAAAAAATGCACCTTTTAAAGCACTACGTTGTTTTCACAGAATATGACTGTTTTGCTCATGGAAGTCTTAAACAGAAACTGTTACTGTCCCAAAGTACTTTACTATTACGTTTTTATTTATCTAGTTTCAGGGAAGGTCTAAAAAAAGACAAATGGTGGGACAGAGGGAACCTACAACCAAAAACAGCCTAGATCTTTACAGTTACTATGCTTTATGCTATGAAGAACTGTAGTATGTGGTAGTTTTTATATAATCAATCACTCATATGGAACGTAGTTCCCAGAATCAGCTTATCCTGAATAGTATTCAGTAATGAAGAATTCTAATTTAACCTTCATGTAGCGAAGTCTACCTTAAAAAGGGTTTCAAGAGCTTTGATGAACTGCAGCCCTCTGGTGCCCCGCACCAGAAAGCAGAAGAGAATATTAACTGCACTAGGGTTTCTTTAAGGAGTAAGATTGATCAAAGGACGTGTTACTTACCTTTGAAGGAAAAGCTTTTAGTGTGTGTTGTACATAAAAGTTGGCTTCTCTAAAGAACTGTTGGTTTCTTCACGTCTGGGTTAGCTTGAGTAACTTTTTTACATAATCAAGAGTACTCAAATAGAAGCCTGCAAATTAATTTGCAAATTAATCTGCTTTTAAAATAAAGAGCAGTGTTCACCATTCATATTTGCATTAGACATAGAGTGACTATTTTTAAAGCATGTTAAAAATTTAGGTTTTATTCATGTTTCAAGTATGTATTATGTATGCATAATTTTGCTGTTGTTACTGAAACTTAATTCTATCAAGAATCTTTTCATTGCACTGAATGCTTTCTTTGCCCCTAGGAGAAAACTTAATAATTGTGCCTAAAAAACTATGGGCAGATAGTATACACGACTATACTAGATAAAGTGCATATTTTGCATTTCCACGATCTATGAATTAGAGGCTGAGTTCTTTCTTAGCCTGTGAAAGGAGCCCCTCACTCCCCAGAGTCACAGGAAATGTAAAGATTTAGAGCTCCCATTGTAATGTAAGGGGCAAGAAATTTGTGTTCTTCTGAATGCTACTAGCAGCACCAGCCTTGTTTTAAATGTTTTCTTGAGCTAGAAGAAATAGCTGATTGTTGTATATGCAAGTTATATGCATTTTTTAAAAACTATTCTTTGTGAACTTATCTACCTGGTTATGATACTCTGGGTCCATACACAAGTAAAATAAGATTTTAGACAGAAGCCAGTATACATTTTGCACTATTAATGTGATACTGTAGCCAGCAAGGACCTTACTGATCTCAGCATAATAATGCTTATTAATAATAAAAGCTATATAGTGACACTCATTGACATTGAAGATGAAACAGTTGAACATTCTCCATTGGAAGGAATTTTTGATCGTCTCTATGGTAATTCACCCCTTCCGTTTTTGTTTTGTTTTGTTTTAATGAGAAAGTAATAGCCCTTTGCATAACATAGCTACCTGTATAAAATTCTGTCTTGTGCCCTGAAGCCTCACTGTCCATAGTTATTGGCCATCAGATGCTCACTGTACCCTCACCATGTGCTCAATGCCATGCTGGGTGGAAGACTCAAAGGGCAAGACATGCTCCCTGTCCTTAAGGAGCCTGTGATCCATTCCATGGTGGGGTGATAGGAGTGGCTTATAAGACTCTGAAGGTCCTTTTGTTTACTTCTAAACTCATTGGATAGAGTTATTATTCCAAATTCTGCTGTGTAATAAACAGTGTTATGGAGAGGTTTCTATCTGCCTTCGAGAAAGCCAGCGATTAAATATCACAACAGGCATTAATGCAGATTTGAAATGTTCACAGCAGCCTTTCAACAACAGTCAGGTGGCCCTTATAGGCAGAATAAACTCCTTAAGTGGTTGTGGGAAATTATAATGAAAACAGAATCTATGTTGCTACCCTTCGGGGGCACTTATATTTAATAAGAGAAAAGCCCACTTACATGCAGAGACCAAAATACCATGCCCCTTAATACTTTAAAAGCAACTTTGATACACAAATCTTGTGACATGTGCTTATATAATCAATGGGCTACCCTGCTTTCCTTGCAGATAGTTAATTTTATCGGCAGAACTGATACGAAAACCATGAGGGCATTTCATCAGTTTTTCCTAGTCCACAGTGTTCTCCAGGATACGGCCAGATATCCCCATTATTCTGGTCACTATGCTGGCACTGGCCCATTTGTTCTTGTTCTTGCCTCGGAGTAGGTGATCCCCATTGGCGCCCAATTACCCTTGAAATAATTATGGTTCATGATTTCCTTTGGGACGGGGAACAAAGCCTTTAACATTCTAATGGACCCTAAACTGTGGGACCTGGAGGTAGATCTGTGAAGCCTCTTGAGGTTAAAATTTTATCTTTGTGGTCCCCAAATGACCTCATTCCTCTCCAAATACTCATTACCATCTTGTTCCCTGAGAATACGGGATGGGGAGGCACCCCTCAGCCCGTGAGAACCCAAACCAAAGGGAGGTTATTGAAAGGAAGGAAGGAATAAGGGTGAAGGTTTTCTGCCCTCCATATTACAAATCAGTTTTCAAATTAGCCTTCTGGTGAGGTACGCATTTGGCGAAAGGGATTCTAAGCGTTCCAGGAGCCGAGCTCAAGGGTAAGGTAGCCTGGTGGCAGGGCCGTTACTACGAGGCTGAAGCAATCCTTGTGATGAAAGTAGATCGTGCAGTAACATACAAAAACCAAGGACATGTATATTTTTATATCTGTGTGGTTTTAAAACTTTAGTATGTAGAACTTTGGCCTTCTGCACTACTCTTTTGCTCTTAGAAACACAATTTACATTGAAGAATGGAAAGGGACGATATTTACCTACATGTTCACTGCCTCACTCCTGGCGAAGCAACTGCTGAGTGTGTGCCCCTGAAAGGATGCTGTTTTCTCGGCTCAAGGTAAAAGGCAAAAGCACCGGACAGTAAGATTTGCAGCCTCATCTGCTTTGGATAAAACTATGTGGCAGAAACTATACGATGAAGGAAGAATTCTATGAAAATTGCGAATCCTAAACTCTACGGTGATACCTTTCTAGGGAATGGAGAAAGGCAGTAAAATAGCAGTTAGCCTACCAGAGGCTCGAAGGACTCAAGTATATGTAATGTTTTACATCAAACTTAGCAGTACGGGCCTCTGTCATCTTCAAGAGTAGTCACAGATATTATAAAGCAGAGTTCATTGTTTAGGATTTTTAAAAAATGTGTTGTACCTAAGGCCATACTTACTCTTCTATGCTATCACTGCAAAGGAGTGATATGTATGTATTATATGAAAAAAAAAATCCTTAATGCACTGTTATCTCCTAAATATTTAGTAAATTAATACTATTTAATTTTTTTAAAGATTTGTCTGTGTAGACACTAAAAGTATTACACAAAATCTGGACTGAAGATGTCCTTTTTAACAACGATTTAAAGTACTTTTTATATATGTTATGTAGTATATCCTTTCTAAACTGCCTAGTTTGTAATCCCCATAATTCCTATTTGTGAAGTGAACCTGTCTTTGTCCCTTTTTTCAGCCATTTTCTGCACGCACCCCCTCTTTCTATGAATATAGCGATGACTGCTGCGTATGCTTCCCACACCCTGCGGCGAGGTCCGGTGCCCGCTCAGAGCCAGCTGCCCCCCAAGCCAGGCCGCTCTGTGGGGTGCGGGGGAGCAGCCACTTTGGAGCTGAGTGTTTCCCGCTTTTGAGTTGTCCTGACATCCTTCTTGAAATGACTGTTAAAACTAAAATAATCTACACTGCATTTATTTTATATTCTTGGTTGTAATAAAATTTAATTGACTTTGTTTCTATGTGGATCTTTTAAGTATAGAAAAACTCCCATTCACAAGCTTTAGTGTCACAATTTCATCTGTAGGCCTAGAAGCTCTTGAGATTATACTCCGCCCTGCAGAGATGCAAAGTCTCCCTGGGAGTTGCAATATGTTATTTTATTCAGGATGCTTATGATGTCACAAAACCACAGACACCCTGCTTACATATACCTCAGAAGCAGAATTACAGGTTTTAAGACATATCTTGGGAAAGCATCCCTTTTATAAAAAAAAAAAAAAAAGTTAGAATGATGTTTTCGAAAAAGCAAATAGGCAGCATTTTGTGGGTAGAGTGGCATTGGGTTTTTCTCTTTTTTATAAGAACACTCTGTTTTACCTGGCTGCCCCTTATAATTTACTTGCTGAATCTAATATGGTTGCTCCAACGGTCAAGGGCATCATGGAGTGAACTGAAGAATGTTTAAATGGCATAAACACAAAGCTTCCATTTCTATTTAAAATAGATATTGCACGTGTCCAGTTGCTTCACTGCTTGACACAGACTGTATATATATTCAATACAGTGCTATTTGTAGGGTAGAGCTGCTCTTAGAAAACTGTTCTTTGACCATAGCTGCATTTCTTTCTTTAAAAAAAAAAAAAAAAGATTTAAAAAAAAATTTTTTTTTTAATTTGATAGCACAAGCAGGGAGAGAGACAGAGGGAGAGGAAGAAACAGACTCCCTATGGAACAGGGAGCCCAACATGGGCCTCCATCTCAGGACCCTGAAATCATGACCTGAGCTGAAAGCAGATTCTTAACTGATGGAGCTACCCAGGTGCCCCATAGCTGCCTTTCTAACCAGCCACCTGGGTAATGGGATGTGGATGACTGTACAAACTCCTTACCACTCCTGGGAAAATCATTTTGTTTTTTTGTTTTGTTTTTAATTTTTATTTATTTATGATAGTCACACACACAGAGAGAGAGAGAGAGAGGCAGAGACACAGGCAGAGGGAGAAGCAGGCTCCATGCACCGGGAGCCCGACATGGGATTCGATCCCGGGTCTCCAGGATCGTGCCCTGGGCCAAAGGCAGGCGCTAAACTGTTGCGCCACCTAGGGATCCCGGGAAAATCATTTTGAAAGTAGGGGTCTATGTCCTTAGCCAACTATAAGTTCTTTGTGGACAGCCCCTGGGTTTGATTCCTCCTCCACTCCCAGCATCTGTCATGACACCCCACACAGAACAGACGATTAATAGGGCAAGTCATTAGCATCATTTTTTTTTTTACCTTGGCATAGAATTCCTGGATCATATTAAATGGTGGGCATTTTAAAGCCATCACTATATCCTGCAGGTGATAGAAAGCCAGCTTGGACAAGTAAAACACAAGCCTAATAGGAACATTTGTTCAATTATTCTAAATGAGAGAATATAGGGGACAGAGACAAAAATATTTACTTAAACGTATTAAGTACATTACTTCTGCTTTTTCAGGCTTTTTCTGCTGCTTAGATTTTTTCCAGAAAGTACTACTGAATTTTTTGACATAAAGGTGCTGATTTGTGTCCCTTCAAAATCCTTACAGTGAAGTCCTTATCCCCAGTGTGGCTATATTTGGAGATGAGACCTTTATCCAAGTAATTAAAGTTAAATGAAGTCAAAAGGATAGGACCTTGATTTAAAAAAAAAAAAAAAAAAAGATAGAACCCTGATCTAAAATGGTTGGTTTCCTTGTAAGAAGAAAACACTAGGAAGCTCTCTTCCCCTACCTTCTCTCTCCCCACAGCCTTCTCTCCCTACCATGTGAGAACACAGCAAGAAGGTAGTCATCTTCAAACCAGGAAGACAGCCTTCAACAGAAACCAAACCCTGCCAGACCTTGATCTCGGACTTCCCAGCCTTCAGAACTGTGAGAAAATAAATTCTGTTGTTGAAGTTATCCAGTTGATGGTATTTGGTTGGTTACAGCAACTCATCCAGACTAATAGAGATTTTCGTACCAAGACATGGGGTACTGCTGTAAACAAGTACCTAAACGTGTGGCAGTAGCTCATGGAGTCTGGAGGTAAATGCTAGAAATAAGAAATTTTAGAGGTAATTCTGGTGGGGACTTAGAAAGAAGAGAGGAGAGCTGGAGAGAAAGCTTGCATCCATCTTCTTAGAGAACACATCAATAATCATGAACAGAATGTTGGTAGAATAATGGACGTGAAAGCCATTCTGGTGAGATCTCAGATGGAAATAAGGAACAGGTCATTGGAAACTAGAGAAAAGGCAATCTTTGTTACAAACCTGCAAAGAACTTGGCCAAATTGTTCTCTAGTGTTTTATGGAAGGTAGGATTTTTGAGGGGTGAAATTTCATTTTGTTGCTATATATAGAAATACTGTTGCTTTTTGCATATTCCCTTTGTATCCTGCAACATTGCCAATTTCACTGCTCTGATAGCTTGGTGTGTGTGGGGGGGTGTGTGTGTGTGAGAGAGAGAGAGAGAGAAAGAGAGGATTCCCTTAGATTCTTTATATATACAATCATGTCATCTGTGAATAAAGATAGTTGTACTTCTTCCTTTCTGATTTAAAGAATTTTCATTTATTTTTCTTGCCTAAATGCATGGGCTAGCAGTTCTAATACAATGTTGAAAAAGAATAAATATGAGTGAACACTTTGTAAGGTTCTTAGTCTTAGAAAGTATTCCTATATTTCACCATTAGATATGGTGTTAGATAAAAGTTTCTCATAGATGCCCTTATTCAAATAGAGGAAATTTCTTTCTACTTCACCTTTGACAAGAGTTTTAATCACAAACAGATGCTGCATTGTGTTAAATGCCTTTCCTGCATATGAAATGATTATGTGATTTTTCTCCTTTATGTTGTTAATATGATGAATTCCATTAAAAAAATATCTTTGGCGAGAGGTGCCTGGCTGGCTCAGTCGGAAGAGTATGCGACTCTTGATCTTGAGGGTGGTGAGTTTGAGCCTCACGTTGGGCATAGTGATTCCTTAAATAAATAAACATAAAAAAAATTTTTTTTTGGCTTAGCACAAACAAATTTATTATCTCACAGTTTATGTGGGTCAGGAGTGTGTGGTCATGCATTGACTGGGTCCTCTGCTGAGGGTCTCACCAGATCTCAAGGTGACAGCTGGGACTTTAAGCTCATTAAAGACTTGGGGTTCTCTTCCAAGATCACGTTTTTTGGCAGATTTCAGCTCCTGTAGTTGTAGGACTTGCCTGTAGGAGGACCATCTCCAGCTCCTAGAGACTGTACTTTGCCATGTGGCCTTTTCCACAACATGTAGTTGGCTTCTTGGAGGCTGCCAGGAGAATTCCTCTTTAGTCTGTTACAGTGTTTTATACCACATAATGTAATCACTGATGTGCCTATTCCATCATATTCACAAGTCCTGTTCAAACGAGGGGAATTATGTAGGATGTGTATCAGGGGCTATGCTGACTGATTTTTGAATGTTCAAACAACCTTGCATTCCTCAGATAACCATGAAGAGAAGGCTATGTGAAGATGGAAACAGAGACTGGAGTGATGAAGCCACAAGCCAAGGAATGCTGTCAGTCACCAGAAACTAGAGGCAAGGATGAATTCTCGGAAAGGAATTTGGCCTTGCTGATGCTTTGATTTCAGATTTCTGGCCTCTAGAACTGAGAGAGAATAAGTTTCTGTTGTTTTAAGCCCCCGGGGTTTGCGGTAATTTGTTACAACAAATCTAGGAAACCAATATAGATTTTGGTAATGGTGTATTACCATTTTTCCAATTTGCTCAGTTGGATTTAGAATTGCTTAAAAGCATAAAGTGCAACAAAAGTCAAAATGGCTGCAGTAATGCTTCAGTGAAGCCTGATTTTAAACAAGTAAACTCGGGGCACCTGGGTGGTTCAGTCAGCTAAGCATCCTACTCTTGGTTTCAGCTCAGGTCATGATCTCAGGGTCGTGAGATCCAGCCCCCAGTGGGGCTCTACACTCAGAGCAGTGGATCTGCTTGAAAGATTCTGCTCCTCCCCCAACTCATGCTGTCTCTCTCTCTCTCTCTCTCTCTCTAAAATAAATGCTTAAATCTTTAACCTTTTCCCTCCCTTCTGCAAACTTACCCTCCTCCCATCTTAGCCTTTTGTTTCAGGAATCTGATACCACCCTGAAGACATGGCCAAGGAGGCTGGTGGCACGTACACAATTCCTGTCAAAACTGGCTAGATCCTGTATCCCTATAAAACTCCCAGCCCCTTCCTCTGGGTGGGCTTGCAGTTTTGAAGGCAGCCTCCTTTGCCTGGCAGAGCAATAAAGCTATTGTTCTTCTTTATACCCAAACTCTTTGCATTACGTATTTTGGCTCCAGAGCACAGAGGTCCGTTTTTGACAACAGATTTGCTAATATTTTGTTAAGAATTTTTGTATCTATATTCATGAAGGATATTGGTCTATAATTTTCTTGTGATGTCCTTGGCAAGTTAAGTGTCAAAGTTATACAGGGCCCGTAAAATGATTTGGGAACTCTTTTATCATCTGTTGTCTGAGAGAGTCTGGGCAATACTTGGATTATTTCTTCCTTAAGCAGTTTGGTAGAAGACACCATTGAGGACTTCTGGAGTTTTCTTTATGAGAAACGTTTTAATTATAAATTGGATTACCTTAAAGGTAATAAAGCTCTACAGATTTTCTATTCTTAAGCCAAGAATATTTTGTTAAGTCATATTTTTAAATGAATTTACTTCATCTAGGTCATAATATAAATATTTCTCTGGAGATACATACTTAGACATGGAATTGTCAAGTCAAAAAGAATGAACGTTTTAAATTATGAAAACATTTATTGAAGGGTGCCTAGGTGGCTCAGTTAGCTAAGCATCTGCTTTCAGCTCAGGTCTTAATCTCAGGGTCCTAGAGTAGAGCCCTAAGTCAGGTTCCCTGCTCAGAGGCGAGTCTGCTTCTCCCTTTCCCTCTGCCCCTCCCCCTTACTCGGGAGCATGAATTCTCTCTCAAATAAATAAATATATTTTAAAATATTT